CGATGCGGGACTCGATCCCGGGACTCCAGGATCATGACCTGAGCCGAAGGCAGTCGCTTAACCAACTGAGCCACCCAGGCGCCCCCCAAAAAAGATTTTTATGTGAGGGTTATTGTATCACTAACACTGTTTAGCATTGTGTAACGTGATAAAAATCAGGTTGACTTTTGGTTAGTTTTATTGTTTGGTTTTTTTTTTTTAAGATTTTATTTATTTATTTGAGAGAGCACGCACACGGGTGGGGGAGGGATAGAGGGAGAAGCAGTCTCCCTGCTTAGCAGGGAGCCAGACCTGGGGCTTGATCCCAGGGTCCTAGGGTCATGACCTGAGCCGAAGGCAGATGCTTAACCCACTGAGCCACCTAGGCGCCCCTAGCTTTATTACTATTTTAAAATCCTTTACAGATAGTTCACCTCCTTATGGTTTCAGAAGGGCAGATTGCTGCTACCTCCCCACCAGATACCAGATGGCTCTGAGTGTCCAGCTGAGCCTCCAAGGAAGATACTCAGATGAATCTGAGTATTCTGGGGGAGCCAGGACTTGGAGTAACTCTGTTGACAGTCCAAGTTGAGCCCCTGAGGCAGTGTTGGTAGTGACTGTAGCTAGTCGGGCAGAGGTGAGGAAAGTGGTCCTAAGCAGTGTTGTGCAGCAGCTGAAGAAGAAAGACCCCAGTCTATAGAAAATTGTTACACATGAAATTTCATAGCTTCTGCTGGAAGAAGGGGGTTGGACTTGGCCCACACTACTGCAGAGAACCCCAGTGTGATGTTGTGATATAATGTGTGTGTGTGTGTGTGTAGTCTTTGTCCAGGTTCCTGTCACAGAGTGAAAATTTCCTGAGTGATGGGAATGAGAGGGTCTTTTGTTATCATAAAAGCCCCTTTCAACCATACCTGAGTTTATGCTAATGAGGTGTCTCTTGGAGGAGGGGGGCTGGTTAACAGAGGAACTAACCACATGATTAGAGTAATTAGAGGGTTGGTGCTTTCCCTTCCTCTGGGGAGGTTGGAGATTGACCTAATCACCAGTGTCCAATGATTTAGTCAATTGTGCCTGCATAAGACCCCTAAACAATGGGGTTTGGGGAGCTTCTGGGTTGGTGAGCCCATTGAAGTGCCTGGAAGTTTAGCATGTGCCTAGAGAGGGAATGGAAGCTCTGCACCCCTTCCTACATACCTTGCTCTATGCATCTCTTCCATTTGGCTGTTCCTTAGTTGTACCTTTTATATAAACCAGTAATAATAAGTAAAAGTGCTTTCCTGCCATTCTAGCAAATTATCAAATTTGAGGAGGTGATCATGGGAACCCCCGTTTTATAGGTGACAACCTGGGACTTGCAATTGGCCTTGAAGTGGGGGACTGAGACCTTAACCTGTGGGATCTATGCTAATTCCAGGTAGTTAGTATCAGAATTGGCTTGTAGGACCCCCAGTCAGTGTCTTTAAAGAATTAGAGAATTGCCTGGTGTGGAAAACCCGCATATTTGGTGTCAGAAGTGTTTGAAGTAGAGAAGTAATCTTTTTCCTGTCCTCTGAATGACTGCATCCTATTCTGTTGAAGCTTCCATGAAGCAATGTCCTGGGAGCCAGTACAGGGAGTTCAGCAAGGGATGTGGTGATGATGGTGGGAAGCAATTGTCAGATCCTAAGCCAACTTGTGGTTCTATCCCTGGAATCCTGATTGTCTAGAAGTATCATAGGTCCTGATTCTTCATGTGTTTTACTTTCAGGTCAGGGTCTTAAAACCTCTTTGGACCCAATGTTCTGGGAAGGATTAGACAAAGATAGAGCCCATGTCTGGTATCAGATAGAATTGTGATCATATTAGAATCAGTTAAAATGAGTTTTCCACAATTAGAGTCATTAGGATATTGAGGATAACTATAAGTCAAACATCCCAGTTGGAAACAAGACACCTTGTAAGCAGTTGAATTTAGGAAAAGAAGTTACTGATATATAGGCATCTAAAGTTGGTGGTGGTCCAGGGCTGTAGAGAGACATAGAATTTGGACAGAAATCAGCATAACTGTCTGTGGGGATATTTCCCCTTGGAAATGATGACTAGCTGTTTCCAGCTTGGCTTACTCTCTTCATGTGGTGTTCTTTCCCCTCCTTGCTTCATTTCCTTGTATTATTAGTGAGATGAACTGCCTCCTGTTGGGATTATAAGGTCCTTCAAGGTCAGGGAAGGACTCTGACTCAGGCATCTCCTCTCCCACTCCTGCTCCTCTACCTCCAGCCTAGTGCTGTGCTTTTTTTTTTTTTTTAAGATTTTATTTATTTATTTGACAGAGAGAGTGAGAGAGGGAACACAAGCAGGGGGAGTGGGAGATGGAGAAGCAGACTCCCTGCCCAGCAGGGAGCCCGATGCGGGCCTCGATCCCAGGACCCTGGGATCATGACCTGAGCCGAAGGCAGACGCTTAACAACTGAGCCACCCAGGCGCCCCTGTGCTTTTTTTTTTTTTTTAAAGTCTTTTTAATATAAGTTTAAAAAAGAGAATTTTGATTTTGTTTTGTTTGTTTGTTTTTTGGTCTGTGTCCTGGAAGATTTCACCTTTACTTGGAACAATTATTTATCCCTCCCTTTGTCTTTCACTTGATAGATACTTATTGAGGATTTACTGTGTGCCTAGGTACATTGCTTGTGTTAAACAAAATTCAGTTGAGTAAACTTGAAGATCCAATTGGCTTTATTCAATAATTCATGAATATAGCAGGTCCCATCTAGCAAAT